CTATCAGAGTAACTATGACAATGCTGGAAGAGAGGAGGCCAAGGTGCAGATGATGGCTGTAATTGCTGGCAAAGATAGCTTTATTCTGGGAGGTTTTGGAGTGCCAGTCATGCTGGAAGGTGGGTAGGGGCAACGCAGGAGGAAGAGGGGAAGCTTGATTATGAATTAAATGGAATAAAAGGTGATGAGTACGTGCAGCTCGGAGCTACTGTCGTAGACAGCATAGACGCCGGAATCTTTGGGGAATATGCCACGTCTGGCTCCGATGGAACGGGTCTCCGATAGATTCGGCTTTCTGCCTCAACTTCTCTTCCTTTATGCGAGACTCTGGGCCTAGGTGTCCATATCACCACTACACTACCCACCACCATACTGCTCATTAGAATAAATAGGACCTAGACGGATTCGATCATCGTCTTTTTCTTCATCATCTTCTTTTTCTTTTCTTTTTACGAATGGATCCTCCTCAGCATCCACCTCCAGCTACTTCATCACCTCCCCCTCTTCAACCTCCCCATCTTCAACCTCCCTCCACAGCTCCTCCCCCTCTTCAACCACCACACACTCATTCCCCTCTTCTCCTCGGACTCCATTCTCTTCCTCTCCCCTACTATCGTGGTGTGGCAGGAGGTGCCCAGGCCGCAGCACGTGGTGGTGTGACGGCGGCGATTTCTCCTCTTCTTACTCAGACAACTCCTCTCCCCTACTATCGTGGTGCGGCAGGTGCGCAGGCCGGTGGTGTGCCGGCAGGGGACTTGGGGGTGACATCCAACCCCCAAGTTGAAGCTTTTTTGAGCGGTTCCAATTTTACAATGCCGCCAACGCCCCCAACGCCGACACCGGATTTAGTGTGGAACGCTGATGAAACCAAATACATGGTAAGTCTACGGATTGGGTTGGACCCGGGTTTTATAGACCAAAAGGTGTCAAATAATCTACTTTGGGGAATAATTTCAAGGAATATGAAAGAGGTGAATAACTACGTGCGATCAGTTGAGGAGTGCAAAGACAAGTGGAAATCAGTCATAAGGGATTTCGAGGTATTATTATTATTATTATTATTATTATTATTATTATTGTTGTTGTTGTTGTTGTACATCATTATTAATCTATTCCAAGATTATGATCACCAAGATACATCATTATTAAGACATTATTAAGATACCTCCCTGGGTCCACCATTCTTCATGGACCCCTACTTGACATTCAACAGCCTTGATTTTTCATTTTCCAGATGCAACCCCCTGAATCTTCCTCTGCCCAGATTTCATCAACCCCAACAGAGCCAAAATAATGCATCTAACTCCAAAGCAACCAAAAGAAGTCTCACTTCCCAGCATGGGATCGATCAACCACTTGGCAACAATCCCCTCCACTTTGAAGCTTTAGGGTGTTGTTGCAACCTTGGATAACCAGTAGCTATCCCTTTCTACTTCTGCAAATCTGCTTCAAATTTCCAGCTTCAAACCAACACCCCTCCTCTATGCCTTTTAATTTCCAGATTATCTATAAACAACAGCAAATCTGCATCAACCAAACAACCTGCAAGTTCCATTTCACCTAGTCCACCTAGCTCCTTATCCCTCCAACTCCAGCCACAATCTTTGAACCATATTGAGAGTTGAGACTTCATCTTCCAGATTGGAATCAGTCTCATAGCAGCAGCCACAATCTACACTTTATAAGCTTTGATTGCAGCTGCAAGTCCTATTTCCCTTATTCCATACTTTAGAAGACAGAGGTCCATAGAGTCATATTTATCTTCTTCACTCCCAGCTTTAACCCCACTATGCTTCAAGCTTCCCAAATTTCCAATCATTTTTAGACATGAGGCCTCATCTCCCAGGATGGGATCACCCACATCCCTCCACCCTTAGAGCTTTAGATTGCAGCTGCAAACCATGCTTCTTCATCCCAGTATCTAAAGGCCCTTTTTCTGCAATGACAGAGCCCTCAACCTGCTGCTGTTCTTCATAACCACCAAATTAGGTGGACCTCCTTAGATTCAGTGTTATCTTTTATTCAAATCAATCAGAAAAACAAGAGAACTCATTTCCCAACATGGGATCATTCTCTTGGCAGCAAACTCCCTAAACATAAAATGCTTTGATAGATTGCTACAAATCTGGGCCTCACTCTATATGAGGCAGCTATCCACCTTCCTTATTATTATTATTATTATTATTGTTGTTGTTGTTGTTGTTGTTATTATTGTGTCTTTTTTTTTTTTGGAAATTATTATTATTATTATTATTATTATTATTATTATTATTATTATTATTAACATCATACAATATAGGCTGGTGTTCGCATACAGGAAGGATTAGATGAATTTTACGAATTCGTAGCTACCAGACTTCATAGCATCCAGGACAAAGATGAGGGTGGACCTTCAAACAAACGGTCCCTATTTTGAGATGGAGAAGACGAGGCCAACGAGGTTGACCTCGCCAAGAAGAGGAGAATTGAAGAGGATTCTGAAAGTGGGAGAATTGCCAATGCAGTGGAAGAGTTAGTAAAAAACTCAAAGGAGAGGCTGCAATTGGAAAGGGAGAGGCTGCAATTGGAAAGGGAGAGGCTGGAATTGGAGAAACAGTGGAAAGGTGTAACTTACAACCAAACTGCACCTTGAACCCAAGCATGAAATCCTACTATCTAGCATATAAGAAGAGTTAATTTGTAGTTATTAACACAAAAGAAGAGGCCATTTATTAAATTCATATGTAGGAAATGTCCATTTCATAGTAAGAATGTAAGATGGTAAGATTAAATTAAACTCTTGAGACTATTACTCATACAATTGAAAATCTGGTTATGGTATTTTCCAAACAAAGCCAACCACAATCACATTTTGAGAATGTGGCATTAGCGGACTTATATATTTTGAACTAAAGGCCATTTCAAAGTAAAGACATTTTATTGTCCTCTCCTCCGTATTCTCAATCATTCCAGTACAAAGCCTCTTTATCTTCACTCCATTCTCTTGAATAGTACTTTGAGTCATAGGTCAATGATTTATTCACAAAGGGTTAAACCAATTATTGGATTTGAAATCAATAGCTTCATAGTCTACTGCTAGGATGTTAGCTTTGGTACCAGACTTTGGCAGATCAGAGAAGTTGATTGGACAGTCAGATCCTATTAGAATTGCCTTAAACACATGTCAAGCCATCTGAGTTCTGATTAATAAAAAAATATTTTGCTCACATCACTCTTATTCAGCACTTAATGTTGCTATGTAAAATATTTGTTAAAAAAAAAAAAAAAAAAAAAAAAAAAAAAAAAAAAAACCTCTAACTGATATAATGCACAATGGATACAATTATATTCTACAAAACTTTTATGCAGATTCAATGGTGCATTATCTATCGAGCTTACAAATGACCACCCAAATATGCGGATCATACACAGAAAAGTTGCATTGATCCTTGGACAATGGGTTTCAGAGGTAATATTACTTGTATGTTGTATGCTAGATAAGAATGACTTTGTTTTTCTTCAGTCAAAGTCTTCTGATACATTTATTTTAATGCATATGCTTTGTTCACAGATTAAATATGATACCAGGCGAGCTGTGTACTGTTCTCTGATTAAATTGCTTCAGGATGGAGATTTATGTGTCAGGTTATGCTACTTTTTCTATTTAGCAGTGATTCTTAGCTTTTGGTTTATTTATTTATTCTCTCTTCATGATTCAAGAAGCTGCATTTTTTATAAACATTTTCATTAATACAAGTTTGCTCTGATTCATCCATCCTCTGTATTTATGCTTTTAGCTGGCAGCGTGTCGTTCCTTGTATTTTCATATTGAAGATGCAAACTTTAACGAGCCAGAACTTTCAGATCTTCTTCCCATTTGTTGGGAATTATGGTTCAAATTGATAGATGAAGTACAAGAATTTGACTCCAAGGTATGGCAGTAAATGTTCCTTTGACTCTTTAATGATACTATATGAAGTAGGTTCCAGTGTTTTGCCCATGATTTATGATATTTTGGTACCAGTAGATAGTTTTCCCCCGACTCTTGAATTGCAGCATTGACCTTGGTACATTTTGCCCTTTCATTATGTTCTATATTTCTCTGATTCATTTGGCATATTGTGTGGATGATGCTTAGTCTTATTGTAAATCAGCTCTATGCTTTTATCTCTATCCTCACTCTACTTTTCTTCTGCACTTGTTGCTTTGGAGAATAATACTATCACCAATGTTTCCATTATTTATCGTGTTCGTGTCGTCATCCTTTATTACAATGTAGAATCTGTTCATATATTTTCTCAACCTACTGAAAGGCTCGAACTTACAACCTTCCAAATAGAAATCCAACCCGAATACCATTAGACCACATAGTCTTGGTACAAATTGTCTGGTCTAGTTATTATGGGATGTCAAGATATTTAAGCAACTAATTATATACTCCGTAACTAAAACTTATATTACTATTTTCCTGTGTGTGTATATATTGTAATTTACATAACTAAAAATTTAATCAAAATAATTATTTGTTAATAAAATAAAATAATTACAAAAAAAGAAGAAGAAGAAGAAAGAATTAAAATCTTTGAATTGCGCTGCTACTGTGCAGCGAAGGCCCTTCTTTTCAAATTAAAAAGAAAAAAAAATAGAGAAAGTAAATGAAAGTGAAAGAAAACGGTACTCCCAGGAGTACTTTACATGAACCACACAAATTTGTCTTGTATCTTCAAAATCCACACATTTTAGGTAATGACTCCGCAATGCAATATATGTATTTCCTATAAATTAGGAAAGTAACAACCCACTAGCATAATGTCCACAATAAACTCTTCATTCATTCTATAACTGTACAACCGTAATACAATATATGTATTTCCTATAAATTAGGGAAGTAACAACCCACTAGCATTGTGTTAAGACTTTAATGATAAAATTTTATAAAGATTTCTAAGTAAAAATTGGGAGTAAATTTTGGAATAGAAATAGTATTTTCCTATATAAAATATAGGGATCTGATCGAAAGCATGGCCCAAGAAGAGATGAGGCAACAGTTTCCATTGTACGATGATCTGCCGGCAGATGTCGCAGGTAACTTTCGTGAATGGAATATTCAAGAATCAAGGGACATGTTGGTTGTTCGGGCAGGATTGGAACCGGCATTTATCGAGCCCGAAATACCGAACAACCGCCTCTGGGAAATCATCGCCAATGAGATGAAGAAGAAGGGTTACAATCGCACCGTCGAGCAATGCAAATTGCTGTGGAAAACCCTCGTCCTTAGTTACAAGGTATTATTATTATTATTATTATTATTATTATTATTTATTATTATTATTATTATTATAGGCATGTCGAAAAATGGAGCGAGTAGAGATGAGGCGGCAACAGTTTGTATTCTACGATGAAGTGCATGCAATTTTTGATATGAGAATGGATTACATTCTGTACTGGGAGGCCGAAGACGCCAGCGGAACCTCCTCCCAGAAACGGTTTAGGGCACTGTTATCTGACAATGACAAGGTCAGCGCGGGAGGAGAGGTCTCCAAGAAGAGAAAAACAGGCAATAAAAATAACTCAGAAAGCAGTGAAAACCTAGAGAATAGTTCCAAGGAGATTAATGTGGAGGTTATGAAGAAGCAAAGAGAAGAAGAGAGGAGGGTGAGAGAGATGGAGTGGCAAAATATGAGAAGAAGAGAGGAGGGTGAGAGAGATGGAGTGGCAAAATATGATGGCGACAAAGTGGATAATGGAGATGGAGGAGCAAAGGAGAGTTAGATCAGAGAGGAAGCCATCTCTCAGACCAGAGATGCCCTAATCTATGTTCTTCAATAGCATATAGGTGAGAGTATATTAGTATTAGAGTTTGAATCTCAGATTCTCAATTTTATTCTATTCTATTTGCACATTTTCTTATTTCCAACATAACATTTTCATATTACATGTACAATTCATAGTTTTTGCATTATATTTTTTTTTCCTACTACTGCATCTATCCCATATTTTACATATTCTTGTCTAATTAATTCAAAGTAAATTTTAGTAGTTAGCACAAACTAAATTTAACTCTTAACTCTGTAACATACATAATGTTACTTAATTATACTCTTAAATAATTTATCATCACATTGAATTAATTTTCTCCATCAATCCATTAACTTCTATTATGATTTAACTCTACAATTTTCTCCATCAATCCATTAACTTCTATTATGATTTAACTCTACAAACTCGATCTAATGGACGTTAATTAGTTACTGATAGTTTGTTATAGGAGCAAAAATGTAATTATATTGTAGTCATTAGTGTACTCTTTCAGCTTTGAAATATAGAGATAAAATGAGGAAGAGAGAGTCTATGCAGATGAATAAAGATGATCTAGGTATTTGGAAAAAAAAAATTGAGTAAACAAAACAAGTACTATATTTTCAATTTTGTCCATCATAAACAAAACAAGGTATTGAATATATAAATTATAAATTGAATAATCTCAGTTAAGTTGGTCAAATTTAACTATTGACTTAATAATCATGGTTTCAAGTTTGACTCTAAGAAGGTGCAATCTATTGGTGTTCTTGATTTGAGAACCTATGTTTATTTATCTAATTATGATCTTTATTTTTTTTAATTAGTTAAGTCACAACTCACAAGGTTGTTTGCCTTGACATTCAAGAAAAAACAACTTAAATTTTTGTTCAATGGACTTTTTTTTTTTAAAAAAAAAGAAAAACTAGAATAAAAATATCTTTATTAGATTATATGAATTATAAAATAATATATATATTATGTATGTAATAATTTTAAAAGTAATAAAATATTATATAATAATATAGTCATGAATTATATAACATAATTATAAAAATAAACATATACAGCAAACTCAATCAGTAACATTTTGAATTATTCAAATTACAAATGAGTGGCAAAATATTTATAATGTAGAGATATGGATTATATATATAACAAATAAATAAATCTTTATAATTATATGCCCATCGATATAAAATTATATATAAATTATAGCATCGAATATTATATAGTGCAATTGAAGAATTGAGTTGTATTGACTGTATTTTCTAATGTTATAATTATATTGTCTGAATTCGAGCAAATAATTGCTCAATTAATAACCAATGTGTAGATGTATGCATCTGGGGCTGAAAATTTAAAGATTTTATATATCAGTGTTTATGATAATTATATCAGTGTTTATGATTTGTATTAAGTGGCAAATTATTTGCTTGTTGTCTAGCAATTCAGTTATATAAATCATTTGCTATCCTAATTTTTTTTAAAGAAAAAATGTATCTTTTATTAAATCAAACTTTTGAATACAACTCAGAAATATGGAAGATATAATTTCTATGTAGATATTTTTTTAGCTCATCTTCATTCATTAATGATATTAGATCAAAGTTGAGTCTACAACAGTTATGCCTTTTTATTTTTTAATTATATATATTATTTTTCTTTATATTATTATTATTATTATTATTCCTATTCCTATTCTTATTATTATATTCATTTTTGTTATTATTATTATTTTTTTGAAAGCTTTTGTTATTATTATTAGTATTACTATAAATTTTATTTTATTATTGCATAATAATAATAATAATAATAATAATAATAATAATAATAATTATTATTATTATTATTATAAATGTCCTTATATGTCTTTTTACATTTAACCACTAATAGTAAAAATTTAATTTTACCAAACATTTTTTTACAAACCGCTAATGCAATTCGCTGGTCAAACCCGCTAACACAATCCACTATTTGTTTACCGCTAGCCGCAGATTACCAAACAAAGCCGAAGTGTATAAATAGGAAAAAGGAATCCATCTCTACGCAAATAAATTAAGTAATTCATATTTACGCAAATAAATTGAAAGGAATCTTCAAAAATTATTATTATGCAAAATCAGTATTCTGCGTGTGTAGAATTCAAATTATTATTATTATTGGTGTAAAATCAATATTTGAATTATTATTGTTTGTGTAAATAATAATTAATAAATTATTATTTTCTTATAAAGTTACAAGAAATTTCCAATGAATTTTTTCATTTATTACGCAGAATTTGTTTACATTATTCTCACAATTATACTAGTTTTATTTTTCTTAGAATTTGGTAACCATTTTGCATTTTTAAGTATACTAGTTCTTTTACGGAATAATGGTCAATGATTATTTTTAAATAAGTATTTCAAAGTATATCAATGCAATATTATATCGGAGATGTCCATGCATAGGTAAATAAATACTGAATTTGTTTATTTAAATCGGTAATTTAAAATATATAAATGCAAGATAATATATGAGAGATTGATTATATTGTCACTATAATAAACTAGTATTTGTCCCGTACGATGCACGGAAAATATGTTATAAAAATATACTCTATATGAGGTTTATTCATATATAAAATTTTTGTTATTTAATAATTATTATGTGTGAATTCCTATAATCAAATTATGAACATAAATATATTTACAATTAAAATAATATTTAATGTGGGTGATTACTACAAATCTTAAACTATATTAAAAATTTAGTACATAGTATTTAATATTACAAATTTTTAAGAACTTAGTAACTACAATAGTAATTGAATTACAATTTTAGAATCACCACGGATCAAATTTTTTAGACCTTTGAGATTTCTAACTCTAGATGTAGCAACATACAATTGACTTTTAAAGACCAAAATCACAATCTTAGTTCGAACATTGATTTTTTCTTCCAAATACTATCGAATTAGCGTGTAATCAATAAAAGATGAGAACTAATAATTCGAGAATATAATCTTAATGTTACTAAGCCACTTCACGTCAATTAAGTTGGAGAGTGTTGTTGGATAGTATCCGATGAATCCAAGAATAACGCATCTTTGTCTCCGTAGTCCTCAATATGCACATCAACAATCTTAAATATTAGGCCGCCTAGCTATGCCATATATTAATTTCAAACTTATGAACTTTGGGGTTGCATGCAATAAAAAGTATATTTTAAATATACTAAGGGTACATTATATATGTATGTAAGGTACTTTCAATATAAAAATAATGTATTTTTAATATATTAAAAATGTATTTGATATTCATGATCCATACAATTATGTGGACCATCGTTCACACAATAATTTGCCAGTAGAAATTGAAATATAAATAAATAAATAAATAAATAAATATATATATATATATATATATATATATATATATATATATTAGAAACTGTCCGTGAAAATTATTATCATTATTATTATTATTGCAATTATTATTATTATTATTATTATTGTTATTAGTATTGTTATTATAATTAACAATATTATTATGATTTTTTGAAAATTAAATGTTGATTATCAACATTTAATTTTCACAATAACAATATTATTATGGTTTTGTGAAAATTAAATGTTGATTATCACCATTTAATTTTCACAAGACCATATAGCTTTATTATATATAGGATGTTTGCAACTTTGTAATAACGTTAGTCTAAAAACGATAGTATAAATAAATACTATTTTTGGTTTAAATTTCTCTAATTCTTCTTAATTCTCTTTTGGGTAGCATTACCATTGTCTTCATCTTTACATGTCCTTTTTTTTTTTTTTTTTTTTTTTGTACATGTCCTTTTTTTTTTTTTTTTTTTTTTTGGTAGTGTGTCGTGCAATTGGGTTACTGGTGATAGCATAGATGGATTCATCGTGTAATGAGATTATGATGTAGGAAACTTTAGATTTGCCTTGTCGTATATGATGTGATCTTAGTTGTACTATTAACTTTTTATCTTATAAGCATTTATTGATATTTGGTAGTGGTAGTTTTTCCCCTACATGTTTTATGCGTGTTGTAGGTTATCATGTAAAAGTATTGAACAAAATATTAATATTCATTATATTTGTAAAAAATACTTGGTAAATAAATATATATAACATGGATAATGTAAAAAGAAGACAATGGATAATTTTTTGATCAAGAAGAGGGTGTAACCCAACGAAGCCTAAGAAGCGACGTTCAAATTATCTCTCCCTCGATGAGCCTTGCGAGGGTACTTAGCGCCGACACGATCCTTTTGAATGGCATCCCGAAGATCCATAGGCTCGTCTCTCAAAACACATAGGCCAATCTGGTTGGAAATGGCCATCGTGGCAAGGGCGTCTGCCACCTTGTTTTGCTCTCTGTACGCATGCTTATATTCCACCTGCGCCAGGTCCACAGCTTCACACAAGCAATGTCCAATAATGTTATTTCGAGTCACGTCACCCATTTTAATGCTCTTCACTATGGCGATTGCATCACCTTCACAAGCAATGTCCAATAATAAATTTGAAGGTAATTAATCTTTGAATTGTAGAAAATAAAGATAATATAACTAATTAAATTATATATCTTTAAAGAATACCATAATCTTATGGACACTTGGACTAATTCTAAGCAGGTGAATCCTGCTACTGAGCTGGAAGGGGATGAAGTTCACGAAAGTGAATTGTCAACTGTCTAAGAGATGTTTAGGAGTTTAGAGAATTCAGAAGATTCTGATGGGGGAGTGACTGGTTTAGAGATTGTATTCCAAGAATCAAAACTGAAAAAAAGAAGGCTTTAAGTTGGAGATTAGAATGATTTTCAAATCAGTAGATGAGTTTAAATGGGCTGTTAAGTATCATGAGACAACTAGGAGAAAAGATATCCAGTTTAAAAAGAATGAAGGTAGAAGAGTCTATTGTGTCTGCATGGCACGCTGCTCATCATGTTCCGACATCCTCTGCTTCGAACAGTGCTGGGGCGTCCTCGTCTGCTGGATCATTGCCGCTGCCATCGTCCACACGTCCCAGATGCTTCTTAAACGCGGGCTACAGAGCGGCGATGGGGAGGGCCACTTTCGATGCTGTGCTTTTCGCGCCGGGGGGTGCTTTTGCCGCGGCGATCAACGTCCCCTTGCCGATTTGTCATTCTCCTTTTATGGCGGACACTTTTGCGTGCAAGGAGGTGCTATCTTGGCTAAAGAATCGGGGAGATCTTTCTTTGGAGTTGCTCACGGATTGTGCTGAATTACGTCGTTTCTTGCTAAATGACCATCGCGAGCTCCTTTCTTATACTGGCTTCATTATCTCGGATTGCAAGTCTTCGTTATCTACTTTTACTACTTGGTTAGTTAGTCATGTGTCTAGAACAACTAATTTGCTTGCCCACACACTAGCTTCTGCGGCCTTTGATCAGGCTAGCACGATGTATTGGGACTCTGTCCCTGACTCTATTTCTTCTTTGATTTCGTAATATATGAAAATCTTTTGCTTTCAAAAATAAGTAGATAAATATGTTAAAATTAGTAAAATAATATTCCACTGAGGCTCAAACTCACAACCTTTCAAATGGAAGTCCAACCCGGGTACCATTAGACCACATAGTCTTGGTAATTGTCATGTTCACTAATTTATTTACTTCGTACTTATTTTAGATGAAATAAGATTATTGATTTCTTTATTCAAAACGTGGAGTATTGCGTATTACAGTTTTGTAAACCGCAAATTATGCCCTGAAAACGTGTTCACCATGAATGGTGAACACAAGTCCAAACGGTGTCGTTTTTACGCGAAAAAAATATATTAGTAAATGTGTTGTTAACAGCGCGCATTTAGTCATATTATGAATTTTCTGTTATGAGATTATGAATGTAATATAAATTCATAATCTCATAACAGAAAATTAATAATCGCATAACAGAAAAACATTTATTAAATTATGAATTTTCTGTTATGATATTATAAATTTACAGTTATGTAATTATGAATTTTCTGTAAATTCATAATTTTATAACTGCACATTCATAAATTCATGCCTGCACATTCATAATTTATGAATGTTGAAGAAGCTTGCGCTACAGAGGAGCATCCATAGTTTGAGACGAGAATGTGTAGGCATGGTTCCAAAGTGAATGTGCAGGCATGGATTCATAATTTATGAATGTCCGAAATCATTACTCACCTCAAATTAAAGTGAAATCGTGAAATGTGAAAATGAAGAAGAAAAGTCGCGGAGTTAATTTTTTTTTTTTTTATTATTTTTTTTTTATAAAAAAGGAAAAGAAAAAGAAGAAGAAGAAAAAAAAAAAGATAACGGTACACCGTTACCGTTGGAACCGTGTTCACCATAGATGGTGAACACGGTTCCATGGCATCACGATTGTTTGTAAACCGGGGCGGACTAACAAGACTTTAAGCACGACGACGTTGTAACATAGCATCTTGTAATCCAGTAAAATCATGTAATTAGCCCAACAATCTTGTCATCTGATCTTGTGTTGGAAAGACCAATAGTTATGTGTTGAACCGTGTTCATTATGCGTATGATGAACACGGGATAGATTCATAATTTCTAAGTTATAGATTTATAATTTTTATATTGTAGATTCATAACATTTATACTGTAGATTCATAATTTATATACCGTACTGTAGATTTATAATTTCTACAACATAGAAATTATGGATTTACAACATAAAAATTATGAATCTCCATAATTTTTATACTGTAAATTCATAACATCTATACTGTAGATGCATAATTTCTATACTGTACTGTAGATTCATAATTTATATACTTTAGATTCATAATTTCTACGACATAAAAATTATATATCTACAACATAAAAATTATGAATTTACTATTGCGTGTACATGGTGAACACATTTTTACAGCATAATTTGCGATAACATGTGAGTTATGTAAAAAAATCATGGAATTATGATCTAATTACACAATTTATAATTTCTCTAGATCGTGGTGGCTTGTACGTCAAGGACTATTGCAATTCGTGAAGAAGAGAAGAAGAAAGGATCAAATGGAAATAGTAGGAAATTCCACGGACCATTTCAAGCTATGGAGCGAATTGGAACTGCAGGAGTTCCCGGAAAAGTTCGTAATCCGATCGCCGGCATCTCACGATCAAGGCTTTTCCATCAGCCGCTACGATGGAACGATCGAGAAGCTAAACGGTTAGTTATCTCGTTCCGAGAAGTGAATTACAGATTTCGTTTTAAACTAAAAAGTAGGAACAATCAAATATCAGTACTCACATACGGTATGGCGGTGATGTAGGGGAGACGAATACTGGAAAGCCTTCGAAGATTTCTATAATATATGGAGTAGCGGGAACAATTAGGTTGCTAGCAGGTATTTCCTGAAATTCATTTACCTTTTTAGTTATTTATCGGGTCTGATGTGGTTTCTGGCTTAATTAATTGCGACATAGTTGAGTCTGCATATGAAGAATGCCGTGAGTGTTTTTGAATTGAATTGTTATTTGTTAGGCAAAATATGTGGTGGATATGACTATATGAGACAGAGCTAATGGTGGATATCCTTGCAATAAAATGTTCAGTCTTGCAATAGAGCAGCTTGAACTTACTAATGGTGCTGACACTTAAGGAGGAGTGAGGCTTTCTAACACTTATTGACTTGGGTTTATGTTTCCATATCTAATTCTTGGTGCAGGAGCACATGTGTTGGTTATAACTTCTCGCAAGAAAGTGGGAGCTTATCTTGATTTTCCTATTTTTCGGGTGACTTCCATGAAGTTTCTGTCTTGCAACGAGGCATCAAAGCATTTAAGCAGTGAAGAAGTCTGATTTCCATCTTTTGGTTTATTGAGTTTGACAATTTGGAGGAACCTTTACACTAGCTTAAACTCTACTCTCTTTTTTTTTATCACTGAAATGAAAATATTGTTGTATTTGTTTTGAGTTGCAGAAAAGAGATGAAGCATATTTCATGAATCTGTTGAAAGTAGTGGAATCAACTCCAGGACTTTATTTTTCTTATGAAACTGACATAACACTGAAGTAAGTTTCTGGCTATCACCCACTTGGTGTTATTCAATGTTTGATAGTTATATTTGGATATCATTCAATACTTATTCTGTATCTTTCAATGAATCTGATAATATTTACCAGCATGCAGAGAAGATACAAATTGTCAAAAGGTTGGATGAGAAAGCCAGTTTGGAAACAGGTTTATGTTTAGTGTCAGCTTCTCTAATAGTCTACTTTCACATGTCTTGTTGGATCCATTGCAAACTGATGAGATTATTATTTAATATTTATAAACACCATGTCTTGCAAAGTTTCATACTCCGTATTATTTATTTATTTATTTAAAGAACAGAATCATTTTATTACAGTACGATGGCCACCATAAGTGTCAAAGTTTCTAACACTGACTGGGGAAAAAAACCCTTTCCAAAAAACTACAGAAATCACTGCCTAAACTAGACCATTGACTAGAAGAAAAATAAAATACAATGTAGTTTAAGCACAGAAAACCAATCTCCAACCACCACATGAATTGCATCCTTTCCCAAACAATGTAACCACAAGCCAACTCGGGATAGATCACAAGCCCACACATAATAAAGAAATGAATCAATGAAATCCTATTCGGCTATTCCAAATAAAGCAAACTAGAATACCGTATTAGGAATTGACACTTTGAGCAAAGTTTCATATTATTGATCTCAAGCTCTAGGGCACCTGTTGCATCATATGCCAGACTGGCTTTACCTCTCTTACAATAATATATGTGGTTAGTGGTAGCTAAAAGATGGCATTTTCTCAGCTATAAAACGATAAGTTTTCATTGCACTATTTGAAGATTGATTTTCAGCTCAAGTATTCAGATATTAAGAAAACTTTTAACTAAATTTCAGGCTGATCCAAGGTTTGTTTGGAACAGAAATCTGGTGGAGGAGCTAATTGAGAATAAGGTTAGCTACTGACCCAAATCGAAGAAAAAGGAACAAAATTTAGTTTTCGCGTTGTGGGCTTACTCGAAAAGTGAAAGAATGCTCTTTTGAAAAGACCTACTCATTGGTTAAGAAAATAATTTGGTCTTTAATGAATGAGTGAAGTATTCATATTTTTAGGTGGCAATGATTTTCAACTAATTATGATATTCTATCTAACTGTATATTTGTGGCTAATTTACACTCTCTTTTTTTAATCTTTTCCAATTTTTATCTGAGTATTTGTTCGTTGATTCATTTATCTCTTTTTTACAGCTTGATGGATACATCATTCCTCTAATACAAGGAAATATCCTTAATGCACCTGTCCTACATTTACTTGTTTTTCCAACTGAGCTGTGCTGTAGATTGTTAGAGACCAAAGTTTAAAAAAAAAATCATTTTTTCTTTCTTTTCTTTTTGGTGGTTCCTTAACAAAGACCTAAGCTTTCAGACTGCACAACTCAATCTCAAAGGTTCAACAACTTCAGTAACATTGATATCAAGGAGGTGTACCCGGCGTTTAGGTACAAAATAGATATAAATCTTTAATTTGTGTCTCCGTCTATATTCCTTTGAGCAAATCTCTTTTTAAATCAGTTATGGTGGCATTCTGTTTAGGGACTAGAATGTGGAGAAGAGGAGCTAACCTAGAGGGTGACACAGCTAATTTCATTGAAACTGAGCAGTTTCTGGAGTTTGGTAGTTTGAGGTCTTCTTTTTTGCAAGTATGCACTCAACACTTAGTTTATTTGCTATTGGCATTTCATGTTGAAACATAAAAGTGGAGTATCCTGCCTTTTGAAAAAGATATCACATTTCAAATGTCAGGTTGTGTGCATTTTTTCTTTTATTGTAAAACAAAATAAAACAAAACATAATTTCACCCTTGTTTATAGTACTCTAGATATAAATATAGTTCACTCTTATGTTTGAATCTCAAGGATTGTGAAATTTTGACATTTTCAGGTACGGGGCTCAATTCCCCTCTTGTGGGAGCAAATTGTTGACTTGAGCTATAAACCTCAGCTTAATATTATTTATCATGAAGAAACAGTATGTACCCCTAAACCATTCTTCTTTATTTTCTTCTAGTTCATTAGCTATTGGCATTAAAAAAAAATAAAAAATCTTCTTCTTTCAGCCAAAGGTTGTTGAGCGCCATTTTCATGATTTATCACAAAGATATGGAGAGATTGTTGCAGTGAACTTGACAGACAAGGTAAAAGACTTTCCTTTATGTTTAATGCACTGAGGTGTAAGAATGCATCTGATCCTAGACCTTTGCTCTGAAATATCATATAGTTTTTCTGAAAGTCCTGCCTAAATCCTTGTTCTTTAAGAATTTGTCATATTTGGCAGGCCTCTCATTGGACCTTGTTTGCGGTTTTAGAACTAAATGTATTTCATTAAGAATGCCAAATGCCTTTTCAAAGATTTTAATGTTTCCATTATTTTGACCTGCAGCAAGGTGATGAGGGTAAACTAAGTACAGCTTATGCTGCGGAAATGCAAAAGCTGCCAAATGTGAGGTGATGATTACAGTTCTATACATGTAAATGTTGGATGATTTATGTTTCAATCATTAGATTATCACATGAGAAAGAGAGGGGGGCACATGGGAGATTCATCTAGTATAGTTATTAATTATTGGACTTCTATACATCTTTTCTAATTAATTCCTTATTAATATTACACAGAGATGAAAAATGTGCTGTTGATTATGCAGTGCCTGTTCTGCAACTTGAACTATGCAGGCATTGCAGGGTAATGCAGCATGCCACATAAAAATGAAAAAATGTAAATAAAAAATAATTTATTTTCTTTTCACTAAACCATAACAACTGGCTGCCAAATGTCACAATCTGAAATGGTGGCTTGAGACTGCTGGGGCCTGGAAGGGGATGGAGGAAGGATGGAGAGGGGGCAAGGAATGATAGAAATTTGGATTTTGGAGAAACAAAAAAAAAAGGGAGTAACAATTCATTACTTAGGCTTTCATGTATGTGTGGTGTAAGATGGTACGAAATTTGAGTTGTGCAGTACTGTAGTTGCAGGGTGGTGTGGGTTGCAGGTTGCTTTAGTTGTGGCGCAAGATAAATGCTGGTCAGGGCAAGAAAATTGCCATCCCCAACTGTCTCTGATGATAGGGAGTAAAAAACATAGCAAGTATTTGGCAATTACTCATAACTTGTTGAAAATATGTCGTAATTCATAATTTGTCATTCTTTGGTCTCTTTTTAAATGGTTATGCAGCTTTCAGAATTTTCTCTTCAAGATTAAGACACGAGTACTCATATTGATAAATTTAATATGCCCTTTTTGATCTTTATTGTATTGGTTCAGATATGTTTCGTTTGATTTTCATCACATATGTGGGAGCTCAAGCTTTGAGAACATAGAGCTTTTGTATGATCAAATCTCAGAGGATTTTGAGAAGCAAGGGTAATGAAGAAATGTCAAATATATTGATTATTTCCTCTGAAAATAGATGCCTCACTGTGGCTATGTTTTTATCCATAATATAGTTTTTAATATTTACTATTCCAGCTGAGCAGATTTTTCATGGTAGACAAAGAAGGGGAGATACTAGCAGAACAAAAAGGAATAATTAGATCTAACTGCATTGATTGCCTTGATCGAACAAATGTAACACAGGTTTGAGGAAACATTTTACTACACTGCATATATTTGATGCAGACATTTCTCTACCGTAAATATTTTGATGTCACTCATGAAATAAGAATTCATTTAGAGTTTTATTTTAAATGGTAGTTATCATATGCAGTGCTATCTGGCCCAGAAATCTTTGAATTCTCAGCTGCAGAGACTTGGGGCTATTTCTTCCACTGAGTGCATCTCTACATTTAGTGAAGATTTTGGAATATTTAAAGCTTGTATGAACACTAATTTGTCACAATTTGTTCATTGTTGAAGTAATCTTGTAATTTTCTGCTTAGTCAACCTAGTGTATTATTTTTCAGTGTGGGTGCAGCAAGGTGATGAAATAAGTTTGGAATATTCTGGAACATACGCCTTAAAAGGGGATCTTGTCAGGTAGTCTAAGTTCAAGATTCTATGAACTTATTCTGTATCAATGTTTGATTTTCTTTGATGTAATTAACTTGCAGATATGGGAAACAGACTATGGCAGGACTACTTAGAGATGGGATGAGTGCCCTTTCAAGATACTTTTTAAATAATTTTCAGGATGGAGTTCGACAGGTATTTGCCAACATGAAAATGTAAAGCCTCTACAAACTATTATTGGAATTGAAGTGTTACTATCATGCTCTGCCAGGATGCTATGGATCTTATTAGTGGCCGATATACTGTCAATAGGGGTTGTTCCTCTCTTGCCCAGCGTAACGGATATGATTCAATCACTGTAAGCAATAGCTTTCCCTCTTAGAAGTAACTTTGGTTAAATTCATGTAATTAAACATGTGCTGTCAATTGGTAGTATGGCTTCCCTGGCTAGATGACGAGGCTACAGCCCACAGATAGCACTGCTAAAATGTGCTGTTTATTTTCCTTGTTCTTTCTTTCATCATTCTTTTTTCTTTCCAAAATTCATAGTGGCATTAATAAGAATCCCGAAAAAATTGCAGTATCTTCCGGTAGCATCTGCTCTTTTACTTGGAGGATTGACAGTGACCACCGTTACATTGAACCAAGGTTCTACATTCACCTAAATTTGTTCTCAAAATAGACAATATCAAGTTGTACACTACATAGCATCATTTTCTTGTATTGGATTTTAAATTCAGTGCTGCAATTTTTCTGTAACAGGACAAAATATGCAGAGCATATTGCCCCCTGTACTTTGTGCTGGTGTCACTGCTGGAGTTATGGCAATCGTGAAAACAAACGGCAGGCAAATCTGTTCCAGGCCTCGGCTATGCGGGCTTCTGTAAGATGCATTGTTATTACAACCACGCGAAATATGCATTGTAAATCATCTCTATCTCATTAAAAAACAACGTACTTAAATATCTTTATGTTTATTGTGAATAATCAGCAATGTGCATCTAGGCAAGTTTTTTGCTGACATTTTACCTTGTTGTATTCTTTGATGTGTGATTTTGTAAGGTGGCCAACAGTATTGACCATGATAAAGCCTTTGAATTTAGCTGTGCTTTATAGCTTTATTGCCTACTATAATGCCCAGGTGCAGAGTCCATATGGTACACGGAAGTTGTGCCCATTGGATTAGACTTGATGGTTAGTTAGAAGATATTGCCCCTCTTTTAACAGTTTTACTTCTTGATGTCTAGAAGATAAATGAGTTAATAACTAATTTAGTTCTTGACTATAGTAGTTTTTCTCAATTTAGTCATAAATAATATTTTTGTGCTTAATTAGGCCATCGACTTGGTTGACGTGAATGGTTGTACACTCTTGTCCCTTAAGAGAGGTCGAGAGTTTGAACAATCGTATGAAAAAATCAATCTGGCCGACACTTTTTCCTTTAATTGGGCCGATCTTGTGCGAACAGGGATTAGTTTGAGTATTGTACGGACTTAAAGGTAACTCCTACAGTTAAGGTCTGCTTAGGATATTTCGTGGTCTGATAAAAAAATAATTAGTCTATCGACTTTGATGATTTTACCAATTTGGGTCATCGACAGTTAGAATCAATGACTAAATCAAGAAAACTCACTATAGTTGAAGACTAAATTAGGTAAAATTACTATAGTCGAAGACTAACTTGGGTAAAATTATTATAGTCGAAGACTAAATTGCGTATTAATAGAGGTGAAATTACCAAACTATCTTAATAGATGATTCAGTTGAGTAAAATTATCAAAGTTGATAATTAAGTACAAAAAATCGTTTAGAACTAAATCGAGAAAAGTCACTATAATCGAGTATTAAATTAAGTATTAACCGTTATATGGTAATTTAGTTATCAAATGTAAAATTTTAATTTCATTCCATAGAACTAAATTAATTTGTAAAATTTTAATTTCAATGTGTTACCATGGACCTGCTCACTGATTGCTCGGAGTTACGCTATAGCTTATGGTCGAATTCAACGTCCATTTTGTCCTATGTTGGGGTTGTTATCGACCATTGCCGGGCATTTATGTCTTCTTTTACTCAGTGCTCTTTAAATTACGTTTCTAGATCTTTAAATTTACATGCTCATACTTTAGCCTCGTTGGAAATATATATATATATATATATATATATATATATATATATATATATATATATATATATATATATATATATATTTATTTATTTATTTATTTATTTATTTATTTAGGGAAGGGATCAGGTGCATTTGTGGCTTCCCGTGTGGTTGTGCGGTTGATTAATGTGCGTGAGTTTTATACTCAATGTGCGCGAGTCTTGTGCTTAATGTGCCTGTGATTTGTACTTAATGTGTGTGAGTGTGTAATGTTAATGTGCGTGAGTTTTGTACTTAATGTACCTGAGTATTGTGCTTAATGTGCGTGAGATTTGTGCTTAATGTGCGTGAGTAGTTCATAATTACGAGCTCAAAAGGAAGCAGAACAGAAAATTTTCACAGTCTCCTTTTTCACAATCTTTGAAGCTCTCATTAGCAGCTTCGCTCTCAATAGTAGCCCCTCAGTATGTAAAACAAAACAAGACAAAATTCATTCCTCCACCACTTCGAAACAAAAACAAGAAGAAAATGCAGCAGTGGATGCACATAATTTTCATAGCAGTGGAAGAAGAACACACTCACACACATTAAGCACACAACTCACGCACCTTAGACACAAGACTTGCACACCTTAAGTACAAAACTCACGCACATTAACATTACACATTCACACACATTAAGTTCAAATCTCAGACACATTAAACACAATACTCACGCACATTGAGTACAAATCTCACGCACATTAATCAACCGCACAACCACACGGGAAGCATTCAATCACACAGGAACCTTTCACTATATATATATATATATATATATATATATATATATATATATATATATATATATATATATATATATATATATATATATATATATATATATATATATATATATTTGTGCATATAGAGTTCAAAATTTGTGAATATAGAGTTCAAAAATTATTAATATAGAGGAACGAATTCTGAAGACAAACGGCAAGGAAGGAAGCAATTTAAAAAAAAATAAAAAATCAGACAGCATCGTTTAAAGCAAAACACGCCGTTTTGGACACGGGTCCATGACATAACAACTCAATCATTATTGTGTGGACGATGGTCCATACAAGTTGTGTGGACTATATTTTGTATATTATAAAATAATGTACATTCAGTACAAAAGTAATGTACAATATATTTAGGGGATATACATTATTTTTGTAGTGAATGTACATTATATTGTATAATGTACATTTAATATATTAAAATTGTATTTTTTATTATGGTCCACATAATACTATGTGGACCATAATTTGCCCTAACAACTGGTATAGGCCATATCCATCTTTCTAACCTATAAAATACAAGCCCTCGTTTATTATTAACACGGCCCATTGGGTTTTGAGGCCATTTAGTACTGTAAGGGCAAATTATGCTCTGCATCCGTATGCACCGTATACGGATGCAAAAACGACGTCGTTTTGAATCAAAATGTGTGTTCTACTTAAAAGAAAAAATCAGTTTTTATTCCCAGCAACAATATTATGTTATTCATTTTTTAGTTCATTCATTCTGGATGTATAGTTATGCAATTCTGGATGTGAAGTTATGAAGTTATGGATGTGTAGTTATGCAATTCTGAATTTATAGTTATGAAGTTATGAATGTGTAGTTATGTAATTCTGGATGTATAGTTATGAAGTTATGGATGTGTAGTTATGCAATTTTGGATTTATAATTATGAAATTATGGATGTGTAGTTATGTAATTCTGGATGTATAGTTATGAAATTATGGATGTGATGAAATTATGGATGTATAGTTATGCAATTCTATTTTTTTTTTTTTTAAGTTAGACGTCAAAACGACGTCGTTTTTGCATCCGGATGCACCATGCTTGGTGCATACAGATGCACAACATAACGATCCTACTGTAAGTATCCAATCATATCATTGGATAATTTAATTTTTTTTTTTTCTAACTACAAATCTCTCCTTATTTATTTATTTATTATAGAGTTGATTTCATTTTTTGTTCTAGATTTATAGGTAGTAGTCCACAGTTAGTCATTTGTTATTAAAATATCCTCATTTAATTCTAATATTATTGTGAAATGACCATTTTTAGTCATATATCAACAAAATTGTCAGAATTTCGTTAGATACAAACACATTTCAATCTTTTATATACAAATTAAGTTGAACTGTTTTATTTTTATGTTTATTTTTTTTGAAAAAAAATCATAATTAAAGACCGAAATGTCTATATACTTAATGATATTTAAACTGTTTTGTTAATAAAAGAACAAAAAATATATGTCGCAATAATACTAAAATTAAAAGTAGATGTTCTAATAAAAAGAATAGAAATCTAAAACTAAAAATAGAATTAACTTTTTTTACTAACAAAATTAATATAAAAAAAAAATACGTGGTATAAGCGTATAAGCCTATAACGTTCACATGAGATCGAGATGCTTTGAGATCCAACACAGACAAAATGACTGGTTTCCGGGCCAAGCTGTTAGCTGTCCTGTTTGGTGCTATGATTTTTACCAGCACTCTTTCCTGGAGTTTTTCTTTTGTCTCATCATTTTGTGACAATTACTTGTCTTCTTTTCCTATCCTCTAGGTAATAATTTTTTTTTCGATTTGCAAAGTCATATGGTGGCCTCAAATACTTTACTACTGTGTGTCTAGCTAGCTTGAATGCTATAAACTCCATCTACAAAGATGGCTCGATGAGATTCTTTTTAATCTTTGAATTTCACGAAGATGAAACCAAATTGGTAATGGGATGTTTACCAAATAGCTGTTAGCAGATTATGTTAGCGTGTTTGACTAGTTGCATTAACTGGTCGCCTGATTGTACAAAGATGTTTGGTAAATTAACTGTTAGCTGATAACTGATTACATGTAAAATGACATTTTTGAATTTTAGCGTTTTGAAGCAATAAGTTGTTACAAAAAGCTGATTAACAAAACACTCATATTAGTTGTTTAACCAAGTACATCAAACAACTAATAGTGATTAAACAAGTCAAAATTGATTGATAAGCTAACTATATTACCAAATATATGTTATAATAATAGAGTCAATTCCAGCAATGGTCCTCCGACTATGTTGATTTTCCACAATTGGTCCTTGACTTTTAATTTGGACAATTTAGACACTTGACTTTTTAATTCTTTCCAATGTTGGTCCTTCCGTTAGATGGAAGTTAAATGGATGTTAATTTGAAGGGTAAAAGCGTCTTTTCAAGTAATGTATATTTCCTCTTCGCTCTCCCGAGGGATGAGCTGGGTGCAGTGTGGGCGGTGCAGTGTTATCTGACACTCCAGCCAGGATACCAAAGTATCTATAGTTTCTTGCTTGCTGTATAATCGTTAATAGTTTACAAAGAGAAGAATGGGGATTCTTGATCATCTTTCTGATATGTTTGATTGCTCTTCCGGCTGCCACTATCGTCGCCGCTACAAGAAGCGCCGACAACTGCAGGTATATATGTTGTCATGTATTTGTTAAATAAATTCTTGATTTTCCGGCGGAGATATAATAACTTTTTATATATGTGAGCAGCGCAGACGGTGGAGATGAGAGTGAAGATGGACTACGAAGGGTGCGAGAGGAAAGTTCGGAGGTCGGTGGAGGGAATGAAGGGGGTGACGTCAACCCCGGTTGAGCCGAAACAGCACAAGCTCACCGTCGTGGGCTACGTGGATCCAGAGAGGGTGGTGGCTCGCGTGGCTCACCGGACCGGCAAGAAGGTGGAGCTTTGGCACTACGTTCCGTACGACGTCGTCGCGCATCCGTATGCGCCGGGCACGACAAGAAGGCTCCGGCGGGGTACGTGCGGAAGGCGGAGGATCCGCACGTTTACCAGCTCGCACGCACCTCCTCCACTGAAGTTTGCTACACCACCGCCTTCAGTGATGATAACCCTGCCCCCTGCGTTGTCATGTAATGTAAATCTTCATTAGTTTTCATTAGTTAATTATAGGATTTGTTGTGTAATGATGTTTCATAGTAAAGTA